TATATTTATATTAAAATAAAAAAAATTATAACAAAAAAAGAACTTAATATTTAAAACTTAAAGAGATTATTTCGTTAAATTGTAATTTTTGTTATCTCGGGAGTCACCGAGATTTATAATTTTCAATGAATTTCAAGTCTGAATAGTGTTAGACAAAATATTTGATATTGCTTGAAATTTATTAAAAATTATAAATCTTAGTGAAATGCGGGAGTCACCGAGATTTATAATTTTCAATGAATTTGAAGTATAAATAGTGTTAGACAAAATATTTGATATTGCTTGAATGTTATTGAAAATTATAAATCTTAGTGAGATGCGGGAGTCACCAAGATTTATAGTTTTCAATTAATTGCAACTATTAATAGTGAAGATAAAAAATTGGAGTTTATTGAAAATAATAAATCTTAGTGGGTTGTGGGAGTCATTGAGATTTGTAATTTTCAATAAATTTTAGCTTTTAATAGTCTTAGATAAAAAATAGTGGAGATTGCTTGAAATTTATTGAAAACAATAAATCTTAGTGAGATGCGGGAGTCACCGAGATTTATAATTTTCAATGAATTTCAAGCTTGAATAGTGTTGGACAAAATATTTCATGTTGGTTTAAACCTTATTAAAAATAATAAATGTTAGTGAGATGTGAGAGTTACTGAGATTGATAATTTTAAATAAATTTTAGCTATTAGTAGTCTGATGATAAAAAAATATTGGAGTTTATTGAAAATAATAAATCTTAGTGAGTTGTGAGAGTCATTGAGAATTTGTAATTTTCAATAATTTTCAGCTATTAATAGTCTTAGACAAAAAATATTGGAGATTGCTTGAATCTTATTGAAAATAATAAATCTTAGTGAGATGCGAGAGTCACCAAGATTTATTATTTTCAATAAATTGCAGCTATTAACAGTGTTAAGATAAAAATATTGGAGTTTATTGAAAATGATAAATCTTAGTGAGATGGAAGAGCTACCGAGATTTGTAATTTTCTATAAATTTTAGCTATTAATGAGTGTTAGACAAAAAATATTGGAAATTGCTTGAAATTTATTGAAAATAATAAATCTCAGTAAGATGCGGAGTCTCTGATTTGTAATTGCCAATAAATTTCAGCTATTAATATTATTAGACAAAAAAATATTGGAGACTGCTTAAAATTTGTTGAAAATAATAAATGTTAGTGAGATGCGGGAGTCACTGAGATTTATAATTTTTAATGAATTTCTAGTATGAATAGTGTTAGACAAAATATTTGATATTGTTTGAATTTATTGAAAATAATAAATCTTAGTGAGATGTGGGAGTCACCAAGATTTATAATGTTCAATAAAATGCAGCTATTGATAGTGTTAGGATAAAAAATATTGGAGTTTATTGAAAATAATAAATCTTAGTGAGTTGCGGGAGTCATTGAGATTTGTAATTTTCAATAAATTTCAGTTCTTAATAGTCTTAGATAAAAAAAATATCGGAGATTGTTTGAAATTTATTGAAAATAATAAATCTTAGTGAGATGTGGGAGTCATCGAGATTTATAATTTTCAATGAATTTCAAATAAGAATAGTGTTATAGAAAAAATATTTGATATTACTTGAATCTTATTGAAAATTATAAATCTTAGTGAGATGCGGGAGTCACCTAGATTTATAGTTTTCAATAAATTACAGCTATTAATAGTGTTAAAATATTTTATATTGGTTGAACTTTATTGAAAATTATAAATCTTAGTGAGACGTGAGTTATTGGAATTTGCAGTTTTCATTAAGTTTCAGCTATTAATAGTGTTAAAACAAAAATATTGGTGATTGCTTGCAATATATTGAAAATAATAAATCTTTGTGAGTTGCGGGAGTTACAGCGATTTATAATTTTCAATAAATTTCATACTATTAATATAGTCTTAGACAAAAAATATTGGAGATTGCTTGAAAATTGTTGAAAATCATAAATTTTAGTGAGATGTAGGAGTTACAAAGATTTGTAATTTTCAATAAATTTTAGCTAATAATAGAATGTTAGGCAAAATATATTAGATATCATTTGAAATTTGTTGAAAATAATGAATCTTATTTAGGTACGGGAGCCACCGAAACTTGTGATTTTCAATTAATTTAAGATATGTGATTTGTAGTTTTAAATAAATTTTAGCTATTAATAGTGTTAGATAAAAAAAATATTGGAGATTGCTTGAAATTTTTTGAAACTAGTAAATCTTAGTGAGATGTAGGATTCATTGAGATTTGTAATTTTCAATAAATTTCATCTAATAATAGAATGTTAGACAAAATGTATTGGATATTGTTTGAAATTTGTTGAAAATAATAAAAATCTATCTTAAATGCTTATTGAATATAATAAATCTCTGTGAGATGCGGGAGCTACTAAGATATGTGATTTTTAATAAATTTCAACTAATAATATAGTCTTAGACAAAATATTTTAGGCCTAAAAATTGAGATTATTTGAAATTAGTTGAAAATAATAAATCTAAGTGCAATGTGGTTAATAAGATTTGTGATTTTTAATATATTTCAACTAATAATAAATAGTGTAAGGTAACAAATAGTTGATATTTGGAATTTAATTGAAATTAATATCTTAATGTCAGCATATGCGTGATGTTTCTTTGTGTCAATTCATTTACTTACTCATTCCTTAATAATTCACTCTTTTTCACTCAATTTCATTTTCAATTATTCTATTTGTATTTGTTTTCTCATTTATATTTTTAATGTTCAAGAAATATAACTTTTGAACCTTATTTATTGATAATTTAAGATTGAATGATAGAATGTATATGCATCTATGCACTTCATTTGTCTTTGCATTATTTCCATCTGTTGTGATTGTTGCCTAGATAGTTCCTATGTTGGTATTGGTATTAACAAGGTAGGACCAGATGCATACTATATGGAACCAACATCATGTACCAATCATGTTGCCAAAACATGATAAAGAATCTTTTTTGCGCTTACAGTGAGAAGACTTCTTCTCCTTCCACAAAGGTTCTTTTTTTTTTCTTTCAAGAATTATTATTATCTTGATTCACCTTTCTACCTGTGAGGCATCTCTAACAAAATTTCCCCGTGTTTAGGCATTCATACAGAATTTGGCACTGTTCTTCACCTTATTTTACAAGGCAGGTTTATTTTCTCACCTTTTATGTCTATCTGTGATTATATGTTGCAAGTATATAATGAGATCAGGTGAAATAATGTGTCCTAGTTTTAGGAAAATCTTTTATGCCTTGCGTATGTGTACCATATCATTTGTGTGGCATGTTTGAGAATGGACCCACCTTTCCATATAATTAATTACGATGTCAATTAGTTTTTTTTCACATCTGTGTAGCACCACTTCCTCTATTTTTTGCTCATAGTTTTTCAGTTTGCTTGATTTGTGTTCAAGTATGTTAACATTTATAGTGGGGTGGTTATACCCTTCTGTTTTTGCAGGTTCACATTTGAATTCTGGAATCCACCCGAGAGAATATAGCTTCTTTGCTTCTGGGTCTTGAATATCTTGTCAACATCTCATATGTTGATGATACTGAGGAATTTAAGCTATGATGGTGTTGACATTCATGTCTTCTGACTGTCTATTTCTTATGTCATGATTATGGTTTATGATTGCTGAAACTTGTGTTTTCATTGAGATGGGAATGGGAATATAGTTCGTGAAACAATGAAAGGCATGATGTTCTTGTTCAATACAAGGTAATACGGTCAAATTTGATCTTTCCCATAGTTTAATTTCTAATATTCATTCATAGATATAAAATCTATCTTGAACTTCAAGCTATTTTCTTCTTAATATTGCATTTTACTAAATGATAAAATTGTAAATTTGAGATATTTCTTCATCATATTCTCTAATTAATCGATGTTTGATTAATTACACAGATTATGAGGGACACTCTTATTTACTTGTCGCATCTTGACCATGATGATACTGAAAAGCAGGTAGGTGATTTAGAAAGCTGTGATTTTGTTCTTGTTTTGAAGGGAGATAAATTATTCATTGGTTTCTTTCTTATTTATTTCAAATTTTGTTATAGGGAGGTTTATATTATTCCAAACATGTGCTATTTGTTTTTCTTTTCATCTAATGGTAGAATCACGATGGTAATTTATGTTGGATGTTTCTTGAAAAATAATATTAAGAAGCTGAACTTCATTAACTAAAGGATTTATCAATGTTGTTTTATGGTGATATGATATCTTGACCGACAATTAAGAAGTTACATTTTTGTGCCTATATAAATGTCACGCCTTGACGGAGTGGACTTTTATGTTGTAATTTGCCGATGCTGAGAAAGTTAAGCAAAGAACTTAGTGGTGAGGACTGGACATGCAACAATTTGAACACACTGTGCTAAGCAATAGGATCTATATCTGGCTCCATGATGGAAGAACAGGTACTGTGAGCAACCAATTATGTGTTGTTGTGCCCAATGTTGTCAAAATAGAGATCCATCCTAGTAAGATTCAGAGAGACGTGTAAGATTGTAAAATATAGGATCATAAGATCGTGCGAAAAATATAAAAATATGTTTTAATTCAGAGTGTGATAAATGATAGTATAAATAGCTAATACATATAAAAATATCACTAAAATCCAGTTCAAAATTTATTTTATAGTTAATTGTATTTTGTTTTAATAAAAGGCACACCGGAGAAGATAAAGGCCCGAAGATCCCAACTTCTTAGTTTTTGGAAAATTAAAAAAGAAAAAAGTTGAGATCACGACAAGTATCTTTATTTTACTTTTGGTTGTGATTTTCTTAAAACAATTGTTAATCACATCATGTTTATGTGGCAAGAAAACATATTTTTGGTCATGGTCATTCGTGATTTATTAAATCACTGTGAAATCACAAAGGGGAAAAGATAACAAGGCAGTTATTGTAAGTAATATCATGTAAGGGATGTTTTTGAATTGATTTGCTTGATGTTATACCATTGTTGAATAGTATACCCTTGCTTCTGTTGGCAGGTATGTTTTTGGACAGTATCCTCGGTTTTTAAGAGCTCATTGGGGGTTTCTAAAATCTGTGTGTATGCCCTATCTTTTTCTTTGTGTGATTTATCCTTGTCTCTTTGTTTGTCTTTAATTGTGTATGAGTGTTCTATTTTTCTCTCTATGTTTTGATGTGTTTGTGTTTGTGTCTTTATCTTTGTGTTTGTATCTTTATCTTTGTGTTTGTATCTCAGACACTCCCTCTATGTGTCTTTGTGTGCCTCTGTGTGTTCATGTTTATGTTTATGGGCATTGTGCCTGTGCCTATGAGCTCTGTGTGCTCTGCGTTTGTGTGCTCTTTGTCTGTGTGCTCTGTGTCTGTACTCTATGCTCCGTGTCTTTGTTTGCCTTTGAGTCCGTGTGTGTGCATGCTGTGTTTTCTTTTTGTTTCTATGTGAGTGTATCTGTCCTTTTTATGTTCACAGGTGGCAGCCCTTCAGTTTGGGAACACTATGAATATTCTTGAGGCATATTCACATGGTTCAAGTGAGGAACAAGTAAGTATGAACAAGTAAGTATCTGTAATATGACAAATTAAACTGAATCCTGACTTACTTCTAAGTTACTTGTGAGGCATCTCTAACAAAATTTCCCACGTGTTTAGGCATTCATAGAATTTGGCACTGTTCTTCACCTTATTTTACAAGGCAGGTTTATTTTCTCACCTTTTATGTCTATCTGTGATTGTATGTTGCTTGTATATATTGAAATGTAATGAGATCAGGTGAAATAATGTGTCCTAGTTTTGGAAAAATCTTTTATGCCTTGGGTATGTGTACCATATCATGCGTGTGGCATGTTTGAGAATGAACCCACCTTTCTATATACTGAATTGGGATGTCAATTAGTTTTTTTTTCACATCAGTGTAGCACCTCTTCCTCTGTTTTTTGCTCACAGTTTTTCAGTTTGCTTGACTAGTGTTCAAGTCTGTTAACATTTATAGTGGGGTGGTTATACCCTTTTGTTTTTGTAGGTTCACATTTGAAGTCTGGAATCCACTCGAGAGAATATAGCTTCTTTGCTTTTGGGTCTTGAATATGTTGTCAACATCTCATATGTTGATGATATTGAGGATTTTAAGGTATGATGATGTTCACATTCATGTCTTTTGGCTGTCTATTTCTTATGTCATGATTATGGTTTATGATTGCTGAAACTTGTGTTTTCATTCAGATGGGTCCGTGAAACAATGAAAGACATGATGTTCTTGTTCAATACAAGGTAATAAGGTCAAATTTGATCTTTGCCAGAGTTTAATTTCTAATATTCATTCATAGATATAAAATGTATCTTGAACTTCAAGTTATTTTCTTCTAAATATTGGATTTTACTAAATGATAAAATTGTAAGTTTGAGATATTTCTTCATCATATTCTCTGATTCATCGATGTTTGATTAATTACTAAGATTATGAGGGACACTCTTATTTACTTGTCACATCTTGACCATGATGATACTGAAAAGCAGGTATCTGAATTAGAAAGCTGTGACTTTGTTCTTGTTTTGAAGGGAGATAAATTATTCATTGGTTTCTTTCTTATTTATTTCAAATTTTGTTATAGGGAGGTTTATATTATTCCAAACATGTGCTGTTTGTTTTACTTTTCATCTAATGGTAGAATCACGATGGTAATTTATGTTGGATGTTTCTTGAAAAATAATATTAAGAAGCTGAACTTCATTAACTCAAGGATTTATCAATGTTGTTTTATGGTGATATGATATCCTGACCGACAATTAAGAAGTTACATTTTTGTGCCTATATAAATGTCACGCCTTGACGGAGTGGACTTTTATGTTGTAATCTGCAGATGCTGAGAAAGTTAAGCAAAGAACTTAGTGGTGAGGACTGGACATGCAACAATTTGAACACACTGTGCTGAGCAATAGGATCTATATCTGGCTCCATGATGGAAGAACAGGTACTATGAGCAACCAATTATGTGTTGTTGTGCCCAATGTTTGTCAAAATAGAGATCCATCCTAGTAAGATTCAGAGAGACGTGTAAGATTGTAAAATATAGGATCATAAGATCGTGCGAAAAATATAAAAATATGTTTTAATTCAGAGTGTGATAAATGATAGTATAAATAGCTAATACATATAAAAATATCACTAAAATCCAATTCAAAATTTATTTTATAGTTAATTGTATTCTGGGTCTAGGTTCTTTCTTGCGTTTTCTTGTTTTCAAAACCGGTGTTTTTCTTTTTTCGGAGTGCTATGAGACTGGATCCTTCACTGTCCTTATTGCTGTTTTTGATTCCTCTTTCTGGGTCTAGTTTTTTTTTTTTGCGTTTTCTTGTTTTCAAAACCGGTGTTTTTCTTTTTTTTATTGATTTTGATTGCATGCAAGAACAAGAATGATGACAGGATACAAATCTGCCATATGCAAATTTGAATGGTCATGATTTTGAATGCATGCAAGAACAAGAATGATGACAGAGGATACTAATCCGCTGTATGCAAATTTCAATGATCATGTTTCCGTTGTATTTCAGGTGTTGGGACTTGGTGTTGCTGTGATCTTGCATCTCGACAAGAAGTGTATTGTTTTTTCTTTGGTGAATTCAAGAATTGCTTTCTATCACTTGGTAAATGAGTAATTTGAAATTAAATTTAATTTGCAAAGTTTATGCTAGTATTAAAAGTTACTTAATTATATGAGTATTGATGACATTTTTTTTCTGTAGGTTTAATTTAATCTGCACTACTTTTTCTATAAAATGACCAGAGTGCTCATTTCTGGGGTTGATCTCTGACCTTGAGGTGAATTACTTTCTACACATATGTATGACTAACTACTTGCCCTGATATTTTCCGGCATTAGGGTCCTAGATTTGGTCTAAAATAATCAAAGTTCTTCAACATTCTTGAACAATTCAATGTTACATGTAATCTTGATTTAAATTGAAAAGCAATTCATTTTCGAAAGTTGTAATTTTTTTCCCGTTGAAACTCAAGAATACCATTCTTGTTGAAATAGTTGAATGTGTTTTTTATTCTTTTTTTTTTTTGTACATCCTATTTTGAATCTTTTTGTTTATTTTCTGTTATTTTCATTGTTAGTTGCTTTTTTTTAGAGAAGTCGTGTGTAATGAGGCTTTTATCTTATTTGTGTTTCCCCCTCCCCTTTATTTCAATGAGATGCAAGCATCCAACTTTGTTTTTTTTTTTTTAAGAGAATCATGTGTATTGAAGCTGTTATATTCCTGTGTGTTTCCCCCTCTGCTTTATTTCAATGAGATGCAAGAACCCGACAATCCATTTGTCACTATCAATATCGTACAAGAATTCCTAAGATTTTGTTCATATAAATGCTTTTATTCCAATTTCTGTCATTTCTTGTATATATATATTATAATTATATATAATGATAATGATTTTATATTATGTTTCGTGAATTTATTATTTGCGTGTATAACCATTGCAGCATGCTTACATTTGATGTTAACAAGATAAAAAGAGGGATAAAGTGTCTACATTTTAAATACGTTTTAAAGTTGATTGTCACTTCTAACTGGTTTTTGAAACAATTATAAATTATAATTAAAATTTAGTCTTAAAATGGATTATAGTTTTCAACTAGTTTAAGATTAGAAATATATATTAAAACTAGATTGGTTTTAAAATTGATTTTGAAGCCAAATTGGTTTCGCAAGAGTTTTAAACATATTCTTGTCAATTGCAGGTTATTGCAGCAGAAAACTGTGCAGATATTCTTTACCTCACCCTTATGCATTCTGGGCTATTGGATCGTAAAATTGAGTTTTTGCACCCAATTGAAGAAGGGCTCGAATTCTACAGGTTTAGAGTCTTTAAATTTTATCTGTAATTTTTTATACAAAACATTTACTGACTGCTCTTACTTTGATATTCTAGATCTATTCAAGGAAGGATGAATGTTCACTCTGATTCAAGTTGCATTTGTGAATTTATTTTTATGATTACTACGCATGAATAATTGAGTTATTTTGATTGACTCCAAATACTTATTTGGTTTTTAAACTACTGAAATTAAATGGCCTTTTAGGTTGGATGGGTTGGCCTATGTAATTAAATAATACATTATATAATTTGTCTTACCATTACTAATGTTGCTTGTTAGACTATTTAAAGTGCCTTTTGGCTTTATTTAAGGTTCCATTGCAAAGTAAGGTTTTAAATTAAGCTTTCAGGCGTAACCATCCTTTCAAAAAGACTGTTAGGTAAATGTCAAGTGCACCATGTCAGTTGAAGACAAAACATATGTAAACAAATGTATCAACTATCAAGTGATTTATTTTCCATTCTACATACGTGTAGGAGTGTATCAATTGTTTATTTTAACACATATATCTATCATCAGACATCTTTCTATTTTAATATTTTATATATTATTAATTACTTTTTGCTGATTGTAGTTAAGAACAACTTTGTGGAGACAGAGCTTAAAATAACCATATCAACAAATGCTGTATACCAAGGCAAAACAAATGTTCTTGGTATGAAGCTTGCATCCTTTGTTCAACCAGCATGTGGCTAATAAGGTTTAAGTATTGTTTTCAATTTGGTTTGGATATCTTACGTTCAATTTGACATTATGTTTAAGGTAATGGCGCTTATCTAAAGTTTAATATGGAAAAATCCTTGTTCATGTAGAAAATTTGGTTCTGTTTTAGTTGTTAATAAATGGTGTAAGTACCCTTTTGGTCCCTATAATGTCATAACCTTTACCTATTAGTTCCTACAATTAAAAACATTTCATTTTAGTGTTTTGGTTTCTTTTTAGTTCTTATAGTTTTGTAAATTTACTTTGTAGTCTATACTCTTTATAACAATAGACAATAGGGTCTAAAAGGAGTGTCCTTGCAATTCCTTTTAAACCTCAAATTTAAGTAATCATCATTTGCTTGGACATTTAATAATCACATTTGCGTAATAACTGTCTTGAATCTCATAAAATAGCAAAAAACCAAGAAACTTCAACATTTGAAATTTCTAAGCCATTTTTTTTGTCTTGTTGTGTACGTAATTGTCATTGAATAGTTTAATTGATCAGAACTTAATTTTATTGTTGTCTATATTATATTGTAGTATCTCGAACACTACTAAATTTTGTTTTAGTAATTTATCTATTTATCTCTCAAAAGAAGAAATTCATTATGATTTTTAATGAGTTTGGAGGATGATAGTCATCCTTAGTGTATGTGGAAAAAAAACGACAAATAAAATGTGTCATAGCTTCTCATTTCCTCAACATATTTTCTTGGAAATCTCCTTTATAAAGGCTGTGCTTTGCACTACATGTTACATGAAGTAGAAGTCAAATGCCTAGTCTTTTAGCTAATCTGTCCCTGAAATAGAATTACTTGGTTCCCTACTGACTCTAGACTTCTCCTAATGTGCTATGATTGAATTAGTTTTTGGTAAGAAATCAGCATATATTCAATGTAATGGAAAGTTAATTTACTCTTGATTTTTTTCTTTTTTCTTGCATTGATTACGTTTCTTTTATATTAGTTGTTTGGCTCTTGGAACAAAGCATATGGCTAGGTTAAATGTCATTTATTCTGGAAAAGAACTTTTCAATTTCTGTAGTAGTGTAGAAATGATTTAATTGTAGCTTCAATAAAAGTTGATGAAATTCAACATATCATAGAATGTTAAAAAATACAATCGTAAAGTTTATTTCTGAAGAAGTTAAACTTACTTATTGTTAATAAAATACATAGAACAATTATGCATAGCATTTCTAAATATTCTTATGCATAGGATTAGTCCAAAATTTTCTGCTTAGAAGTTAAATTAACAGAAACTACTACTGAATATTAAATATGATGAATCATAGCTACATCGGTAGTTCTGTCTTCTCCTTCTGCAATTTCAAAGTTACATGAATCACACCTTTCGAATTGTTTGTATTAGTGCATCCTTGTTTTGAATATTTAAATAGGCATCAAAAATCAGCATATATTCAATGTAATGAAAAGCTAATCTAGTCTTGATTTTTTCTTTTTCCTTTCTTGTGTTGGTCATTTTTCTTTTATAATAGGTGTTTGGCTCTTGGAACAAAGTGTATGCTTAAGTTAACCCTGCAGTATAATCCCGATAAAGGGAATTATGAAAAATTTGGTAAGTCAAATGAAGTGGCACTACGTGACTTGGCAGATAAGATCTGTATTTGTATTGGTTATTTATTTGATGTTGGGCTGTGTATTTGCTTCACACTTTGAGCTATATGCTTAGCAAATACATGTTTTGGAATTTTCTCGACAACGGAAAATGATGAGTGCCTTTTGCAGCTGGAACCGGATGCATGTTTTGTTCTCAAAGGGTGCCCTATAAAGTATAATTTCTAGATATACAACCATTCTGTGCAATGATGATGGTTCCATTGTGCCACTTACAGATGATATTTGAGCAGAGCTGGACTCAAGGTTCCTAAGGTTTGCATTTTATTATTTATAATCTTATCTGCATATACATATTCCATAATTTACTTTTCAAACTTTCCCTTCCTTTTTGCTTCTTATTCAAATTAGGCGAAAAAAATTGAGAAAAGTTGTGTGGCTCATGTACTTGCTCTGCAAGGGCATAGTTCCCATCTTTAATATCACTAACGGTGCAAGGGTCATCAAGTATTTGTTGCTTTGTTTATTCTTATATGGAGGTGGAAGTGTCTCAGGAGATTGGTGAATTTTAAGATTTAGGGATGGTTTCAGTTTTGCACTTGAAGATAATTTTAAGTAGTTACTGACTTACCTTTTGCACTTGAATTTGATTTCAGCTTTGGAATTTCAATCATGGACACATTTTTGAGGCATGTAAAGACAATCTCAAGAAGCTTCAGTTAAGTTATCTAGATTCACTTTCTTATTGTCAAAAGGCATACTGGCATGTTTTCAATTTCTTGTTTGTTTTCTTTCTGATTGTTGTTACGTTTCTTCCTGATTCTTGTTTATCTTTACTACTCGCAAGGGTTTTTCTCTTTGTTCCTCATTCCGGTGACCTTGTGTCGATGGAAGGTAGAAATGATGTTATGCGTTTTCCTGCTTTTCAATTTCTTGTTGATTCTTGCTTGTCTTTGTTACTTGCCAGGGTTTTTCTTTAAAACCTTTTTTTCTAGGGATCATCCTCATCTGCGTTGTATTTCTTCTGTTTTCTTCTGTTATTGGAAAATAATTCATTGATTTTGCATAGTGCAGTATCACAGCATCGGTTCAATGCTCGTGAGAGTGATTGGGGTTTCCCTAATTTCATGTCTCCACTTGCTGACTTATATGATCCTGCTAGAAGTTTTCTGGTGAGTGATAGAAGTATAATTGAGGTTGATGTTGCTGTACATAAGCCTCTTGATTACTGCTCACATCACTCAAAAAAGGTAATTGGTTGTGTTGGACTGAAAAACCAAGGAGCTACTTGTTACATGAACTCTCTTCTTCAAACGTTGTATAACATCCCTTATTTTAGAAAGGTTAGCCAATTTTTAATGTTCAAGCCTTTGTTTTTATGATAGGAAGCACCTTAAATGAGTTATTATTATAGGCTATGTACCATATGCCAACAACTAAGAATGACATCCATCAGGGAGCATTCCTTTGGCATTGTAGAGTTTTATTCTACTAGCTGAATCATAGTGACACTAGTATATCTTCTACTAAAGAGTTAACCAAGTCTTTTGGATGGGATACAGATTTGTAGCTTTGTCATTACTTAGTACAATTTCATCATTCCTTATTTGTAGCTTGGTCTCCCTGGTTTCAATTCTATGCCATCAGCCTTGAATATGTTGACTAAGCATGAGTGTGCTTCTTACTGTAACCATTAATTGGAGGATCAATTTAGAAAGGTGAGCTTTAGCAAGTTTCTCACTTGTATTTTCCATTTAACTTGGATGTTGAAAAATTACTGTAGGTTTTTTGAAATATTCTTCATACCATTGATCTGAATACAATATTATATACAAGAGTTGTTTTCGTTTCAAAATAGGGAACAAACAAATGCTAATAAGTTATACACACTGATCTAAGGTGGGAACGACCAATCTGGACACACAAAAAAAAACTTAGCTAAAATAGGTAAATATAGATACATTACATAGGGTAAGAAGATAGCCAATTCATCCAACATATGAAATTTAATAAATATTTGTACTATTGGTTATTTTGTTGGTATTGGGCTGTGTATTTGCTTCACACTTTGAGCTTCATGCTTAGCAAATACATGTTTTTGGAATTTTCTCGAGATCGGAAAATGATGAGTGCTCTTTGCAGCCAGAACCGGATGCAGGTTTTTTCCTCAAAGGGTGCCCCACAAAGTATAATTTCAAGATATACAACCATTTTGTGCAATGATGATGTTACAACTGATATTTGAGCAGAGCTGGACTCAAGGTTCCAAAATCCAAAGGTTTGCTTTTTATTATTTATAATCTTATCTGCATATACATATTCCATAATTTGCTTTCAAAAATTCCCCTTCCTTTTTTGCTTCTTATTCAAATTAGGGAAAAAAATTGAGAAAAATTGTGTGGTTCATGTGCTTGCTCTCCCTCTGGGTACCCCACAATAACCTGAGGTGGATCTCTTGACAGAAGCCATCTTGGCGACCAAATGAGTTTTAAGTTGATCAATGGTGCCATCAGGGCCAACCTTGACTATAAAGATCCATTGACATCCAACCACGGACTTTCCAGGAGGCAAAGAAACAAGATCTCAAGTATCATTGTTCTGAAAAGCACACAGTTCATCAATAGGGTGGGCTAAGGCATCACCTACAGTTTTAGGAATAGACATAAAGAATTAGAAGAGAGACAAATATATTGGGATGGGGATAACCTGTGATAACTTAGAGTAATATAATGAGAGGAAGGATTACGAGTAGAACGATTACTTTTTCAGAGGGTGCGAAGGTGGTGGCACCGAAGTAGAGTCGGTAGGGGGCCTAGTGGGAAGGCGAGAGTGTTGCCAACGATGAGTCGAAGGTAGTGGGTCGGGTGACACAGCAGACACAAGAAGAGTATCAAAGACAAAAGAGGTAGTTGAAGGGTCTAGGATAGGTGCAGAAGAAGAGGAAGTAGATGGAAAGTAGAGAAAAGACTAACAAAGGTGACATAAGCTGAAATCAAATAACAAACAAAGGAGGGTGAGAAACATTTAAACCCTTTTTGAGAGCTAGGATACCCTAAAATGATACATTTGTGAGACCGAGCGGATAGTTTGTCAAGACCAAGACTATGATTATGGACAAAACATGTAGATCCAAAGACGCGATGAGGTAAAGGGTGTAGTGGGGAATAAAATAGAGTGAGGTATTTGATTGTTGAGAACAGAAGATGACATTTGATTAATGAGATAGCATGCATTGAGAATAGCATCACCCCAAAAAGGTTGAGGAACGTGACCATGAAGTAAAAGAGTGCGAGTGGTCTCAGTTAGGTGTCGATTTTTGTGCTTAGTCATCCCATTTTGCTGAGGGGTATATGCACAAGAGATCTGATGAAGAATACCATGGGAAGTCATAAAGGCTTCAAAGGAGTGAGAGAGGTATTCACAAACCAAAAAGTATGAATAGAAACACCAAATTGATTCTAAATTTCATTATAAAAAGATTGAAATATGGAAAATAATTTGGATCGAGATTTCATTAAAAATAGCCAAGTACATCGAGAGTAATCATCAATAAAAACTACAAAATACTGAAATCCTAAAGTGGACCTAACCCGACTTGGCCCCTAAATATCAGAGTGAACTAAAGTAAAAGGAGACAATGCTCGGTTGGGGACACTCCGAGAAAAGGATCTATGACTATGTTTGTCTAATTGACATGACGTATGACAAATGAGACAACTTAGATAAACATGGTACAAGGTGTTAAAGTTTGGCAAGGCTAGGATGACCTAATTGGGCATGGATGAGAGAAAGGGAATCCACCACCAAACCAACAGGAGCAGAAGTGCGTAGGTGTAAAGGTCATGGTACTCATCTGGTGCCAATCATTCGTCCCAAACTCCGGTCCGGTAAGAAAACAGAATCTTTAGTAAAAGAGATAAGACACTCAAAAGAGCGAGTAAGATGACTAAGGGATAATAAATTAAAGGGAGACTTTGGGACATAAAGAACATTGTCAATGGAGAGAGAAGGAGAAAGATGGACAGTACCAACACCATAAGATGTGGTGCGAAAGCCATTAGCCATAGTGAAAGAGGGTAAATAACCAGAAGTAGAAAGAGAGGAGAAAAGAGATTGATTACCAGAAATATGATCGGTAACATTAGAATCTAGGACCCAAGGGCCAAGAAAAGTGGAGTGAGACCAACAAACAAGGGCATGTGTGCGCAATAGAGACAGTGGAATTGGAAGTCTGACGTTCCTCATACCATTTAAGGAAGTCATGGAAGAGAGCTGAAGGTTTAGAGCCAGAACTATTAGAGGGGGTAGCATAGAGACAAGGGAGATAGTGTGGGCAATAGCAGTAGTAGGGCGAGTGAGACGACCATGAAAGATGTATCATCGATGAATTGTGTGGCCAAGTTTGTGACAGTGATCACACTTGGGACGACCTTTGCCTGATTTGTGAGAATACTAACTATCATCATGTTGGGAAACCAAAGCAGATGAGTCACTAGTGGGAGCGGAATAAGGTATGTTAGGGGAAAACTTGCAGGGCACACGCAACAGGGTGGACCAAGCCGAGTTTAAGGTAGGCATGGTCGGAGATCCCAAAATCTAATCACGAATGGAAGAGTACTCATCAGGAAGCTCATACAATACCATCAACATAAAGAAAGTTTGGCATTGCTCTAGTTCCTTGGCAGGAGTGGCAGTGGGCGGTAAAAGTTCATTGAAATCATGTAAAAGGCCATGAACTTTTTCCAAATACTTAGCCATGGAGCCCTCAAGGCTTCATGGAAAAATGATATTCTAGAGATTTTGACACACCATAGAGACATTGAGTATTATTAGTGTACAAAAATCGTGCCTGTTCCCATACATCAACACATCTTATGAGCAAGAAAAATTGCTTTAGGGAGGGATGATTTTCGACCAACGAGGATGATTTTTCTCATCAATGAAAGCAACATAATCTTGTCCCTTAAGCCAAAGCTTGATATCAGAAGCCCAAGTGTCATGATTGGTTTCATCTAACTTGTTAATGGGAAGTGGGAATTGACATAGTAAAAATAGAGGAGTCAGGCCAGACAACAGTACAAGAAGCCATATATGCTAAAAAGGAGAGATAAACAACGGGAGAGAGAAAATGGCCCGAGAAGGAAGGGACCCGTGACAAACCAAGTTCATCACAAAACAAATAATAGATCGGGGTAGAGGACGTCGGGGCGAGTTTGGCATCGGTGAGTGCTGTTGGAAAAGTAACTCAGATGCGTTGCCACGCGCGATGGTCGACTGAGAGGAGAGAGAAACGTGCGAGAACAGGATTGGTGCGTGTAGGCGCGTGTGACCTCCTTCGCCACGCGACTGGTGGCGTGGCGTTGGGTTCACCAGAGTAAGGTGAGTTGGGTGGGTGGGTCGCTGGCCAGAAAGAGACCTAGGACAAACAAGGTTCGATCACAAAACAAATAACAGATTGGGGTAGAGGACGTCGGGGCGAGTCCAGTGTTAGTCAGCATTATCAGAATGATGGTCAGACACGCTGCCACGTGCAATGACATATGGAGAGTAGAGAAAAACGACAAGAGAACGAGATCGGCACGTGTGGGCAAGTGCGCGCAACAAGGGGTGTTGGGTTCGCCGGAGCATGGCGAGCTGGGTGGGTGGGTCGCAGGCCTAAAAACAGACGGCGCGATGGACGATGTCGGTTGCGATTTTTTTTTTCAAAAACAGGAAAAAAATTGTCGAAAAAAGGCACGACGAAGTGGGTAGCCGAAAAATGAAATGAGATGTTTTTCGGGCACCGATGAACAGTAGGTCCACCGAGAAGTCAAGGATTAGGCTCTAGAT